CTGCCCCCACTGTCGCCTCTGGCCCAGATGCTGATCCAGTTAAGTGTCATCAAGGTGCTGATCCAAGGTGAGTGTCATTAAATCCAACATGTGCACCAAGGGGCACATGTTTGGGGATAAAATGACAGGTCTGACCATGAGGTGTTTGAGATGTGGCCTCCATCGCTTCCAGAGTGGGTCCTGGTGTGTGGGGTAGAGCCCTCAGGGTTCTGACCCACACACCCCAGGCTCCCACGGCCCCCGGGTGTTCCCAGAAACCACCGGCGGACACGAGGTTCTCCTACAGCCTTTGGGTCGAGCTCCTAGCTTTGTTTATGTATGTTTTCCAGAGGAAGCAATGAAGTCATTTTGCTCAGACTTCTGATGTGCCTCAGGAGATAGGGTTAGAGTTTGTTTTCATTCTTTTTTTTTTTGGCAAAGTAAAGACATTTTAGATTTCATAAACTGCAGAGTGCTCTTTTCTGTCCAAATGATACGTGCAAGTTGCTCTGTGCAAGTTTAAGAATATGTTTGCTCCTGAATTGTTGACTCAAGTGAGTTTAATTAAAGTCGTGGCTTCTTTAGAGAAAGCTGTGCAGTGACAACGGCTGATTTTTCTCTATTTCTGGACAACTTTACAGGCAGACCTTTGATTTAGATGGAAATTCTAGGTTACCTGGTGACAGTTGTGACGTGGCCTTCTCCACGGACAATGGGAAATGAGAGCGTCGGCCCGTGCAGGCTGCTGGCAGTAGTGGCTCGTTGGCTTGGTGCTTTCCTGGCGTTCAGGAGGGACTGTTGCTTTTTCCCTGATCGGAGGGATCGGCTCCAAGGTCAAGAGCTTTGCCTTCAGCAGAAAGTGAGGCTGTGGGAAACTGCCTCCCGCCCGCCTCCCCCGCGGGGACGGTTCTGCCTCCCTTTGAAGGCGGTGAGGTGCCGAAGCCAGAACCAGGATCTCCGGGAAATAAACTGAAACGCTAGCCTGAGGCTGTCACCCTGGGCGCAGAAAGATGCGGGCAGCCTAGTGTCATAGCCCCAATGCCTGGTGCTCAATGCCCTCATCCTGGGAAGTGGGCGCCTTGGAGGGGAGGGCAACGGAGGTGGACAAGAGGCACCCGCGGGGCAGGAAGCGGCTCTCAAATGGGGGAGAAACAGTGGAGGGTTTGCCGCCGGGCAGCTCGCCCAGCTGGGCTCTGTCTTCCACCAGCGAGCTGGTGCACTTGGCCTTCATGGGCCCCTTTAGTGAGGAGCCTGCGTGGGAGCACGTCTGCAGTGACCAGCGTGTCCCCCCACCTGTCACAGGCAGCCCCCGCCCCCCTTGCCGCAGGGAGCCAGGGACAGCTCGCGGAGGAAGACACGGCCGGCCTTCCCGGCGGACACACGCTGATCCACACGCCTGGCAGCTACGATGAGCGGAATTGGAGTCCGGCTTGACCTGGGTTTCTGAGGCGCCCCTGCTGGCTCCTCTGAAGCGGGGGAGCAGCACGGCCCGCACCGCTCCGAGGCTCCTCCCTTGCACACGCACACTTGGAAGGGCCTCGTGTGCCCAGCGTGCAGGGAAGACTCTTCCTGGCAGGGATGTGGGGCTCACTTCTGCTGGGATGTAAACCAAAGCCATCTCCTCGAAGTCTCTCCTCGGCCCGGAGCCCCGCTGCGTCCTCGCCCAGGCAGGTTCGGGGCCGTGGGGTCGGGGGTTTTCTTTGGAAGGAAAAGGCGGGTTTCAGCAAGTTCTCCAGCCGGTAAGGGCCGTGGGCCCTGTGCGGCTGTGACGGGCAGGATGGCCCAAGGGCCCGGCTTCGGGGCCGGGACGGCCAGGCGGTCGGCTCGCTCACCCCAGGGCCCGGTGGGTCCGGTCTCCACGGCTAGATCTCCAGCGTCCGTCCAGGCGGCAGCCTTCATAATCAGTAAAGTCTGTCAGAGCCGTTTTCCAGCAACGATGAGGAAATGTGACTCCGGCAACCCCAGGGTGGCCCCGTGAGTGGGTCTGGAGGCCTCTCTGGTGGGTGACGAGGTTTCGTCTCTCCTGCGCAGAGGGAGCTCTGACAAGCCGCCTGCACAGGAGCTGGTGCCCGGATCGCTGCCGCATCAGCAAGACGGGAGTCACCGCGTGCAGTTACAGACGTCCCCGAACACAGCCGCACCGTCGTCCTCAAAGGAACATGGGCCATTGTCGTCTGACATTTTTATTTTATGGTCGAGAAACTGGGGTCTGAGAGCAGCAACCCAGTGAACCCGAGCCCAGAGCCGGTGAGTGGCGGGGGGTGGGGGGGTTGGGGCTGCGGCTGTTGGGGCCACCGCATGTCCCTCCCGGGCAGCTCAGGAGTCGTGTGGCCGAGGGACGGGGCTCACGGACCTACGTGCGCCGGGGGCTGGGGCAGCGCGTTTGCCCTCGTTTTCTCGAGCAGCACAGGACCCGCAGCCCACGTGTCTGATTTACACTCACTGCTTTCCCACAGGACGAGCTTTTTTGGTTCCTTAGACTCCGGTGTGTGTGGTCGTCACCCCTCACCCTCTCCAGCCAGCGAGGCCGAGGGGACAGGAGCTAGAGCGTGTGCCGTCCCCTCGCTGCCCCTCGCTCGTCCCCTGGGCCCACGTGGGGGCCACACGCCGAGGGCTGGCCGTGGGGCCCCGGTGTCAGGAGAAAGGCTTGGCACAGCCACGGCGCCCTCCGGCTCTGGCTGACTCCCACCCGTTTCCATCCACAGGTCCTTGCTTCACACGGTGATGCCGAGACGGGGACCCTGTGCAGGGGGAGGGGCCGGCTGTGCAGAGCAGCCGAGAGAAAATGATTTGCCTCTTTTCCTAAGGAACCCCCTCCATCCGTTTGCTCCCTGTTTCTCTCGGAATTCTCGCCTTTCCAACTTGCTTTTGGGTCCGCACATGACGCCTCCTCACCAGCTTGTACCTCCCACAACGCACACGCTTCATCCCTGGGAACATCGAGCTCTGTATTCCGAGGATGGACAGATGTTGAGTCTCCTGGAATCAAAGAGCTCCGGGTGGGGACTGGCACTTGAAGGCCAGGGGCAGCGCTGGGACCGATCTGCCCTCTGATGGGTCCCCTCGATTTCATAGTGGTTTTCTTAGTCTTTCCTATCTTTCCTGGTGTATTTGCAGAGAGGCCAAGAGACCGACCAGGACAGAGAGAAGAAGACTATTCTGGAAGGTCAGGGCACAGATGACTGCTCGGCAGTGCTCATCGACCCTGCTGGGGTTTCCGAACCACAGGGGAGGGAAGGCGCTTGGCTTCTGCGTGCTGGGAGTCAGCTGTTCATACTGCAGTTTCGTCCTGCGGCTTCCCTTCCCTCCGTGAGCCGGTTCCAGGTGCTCCTGGGCACAGATTTGTGGACAAGTGTATTCTGAAACCAGGCAGCGCAGCCCTCGCACACCTTCCCCGCGGTGGGGCCTTCAAACCTGTCCTCACTAACCACGCCACGTTCTTGAAATCAAGAATCCCAAACTACTGGAGGGAGACATTCCAAGTAATTGGAAGCTCTTGCTCAAAGAGAAAACCCCAGGTGGATAACAGACCCCCTGCTGCAGAAGGGGGGCTCTGGGGTCCTCAGGCCAGCCCCCCCCACCCCTGCCCTCCGTGTGCGCTTGATACAGAAGCGCCTCTTGGAAAGAGTTTTGCACACTGGGGACCCACCACTTGGATCATCGAGGCGATGGCGCTTGGAGCTCAGCCTGCGAGGGGCTTCTGCCATCAGTGATGACGCTGCCAAACCCACAGGCTTGGTCTGTGTGGTGACTCTGCCCTTGGTTTTGGCTCAGGCTCTGTCTTGGACTCCCCGCCCCTTAGCAGGCATGCGGACACCACACACGTGTGTACACAGCTATCCGGTACTTTCTGGGTTTGAACAGACTTCTCGTGTATGTCCTCCAAAGCCAACCCAAATCCTGTTTGGACCGGACGGGGGTCTGCATGAACAACAACGGGTAAATCAGGGGACCTGTGGCCAGCAGCCTGCCGTGCGTCCTGCGCATCTTACGGCGTGCCCACGGGCCGTCCCACAAAGATACTGTTGTGCAGAATGTTTCTCTCTTTCCGGTCAGGTTTTTTTAATGCACGCACAGAAGTCAGCCTGGAGTGAGGAGGTGGAGGAGAGGAGCATTTCTGCTTCCCTGCCCAGCAGTTTTGTAAAAGAGGAAAATCAACATTCCATTGAAGGTTTCTTAACACGGCCTGGGGAGCACGGCACTGTCTTCTCTACTTCACATCCGGGCAGTTCTGCCAGTCTCCGCCCGTCCGTGGATCGGTCTGCTTCTGACGGCCACTGTCCCGTGGAGGAGAGAACAGGGCAGGGTGGTGTCGGGTGGTTGCAGGGTGAAGGGAGGGGAGAAGCCGGCCCAGCTTGGGGCTTCTCACCCTGCGGTGGGGCTCGCTGCTGTCCCGTCACACACGCTGCTGTGGCTTTGGCGCTCCGGCGGCTTCACCGGGTGTCCAGGAGCACGCGCCTCCTGGAGAGGGCATCGGCTTTGACCTGGATGCCACTGAGAGAGGCCTTTCCAGAGCGAGCGGAGCGGGAGCTGAGGTGCCGCAGCTCCAGACACTTTCGGGTGGGGCCTCTGCACAGCGTGTGGGGACAGCTGTCCCTCTCTCCAGGCAGCGGTTTCACACCTTCCGCTTTTCCCTCGTTAGAACCTCAGGCCCGGCGCCCGCTGCCACCTGAGCGCGTAGGCCTGTGGCCGCCTGCCTGTGCGTTGGCCGCCCCCATGAGCAGTAGCCGTGTGACTCTCGCTTGACACAGGGCCTCCTCTCTCCCGCTGCCCTCCACGCCTGCCATCCAGACATGCCTGTGGGCTCTAGGCACTCCGGCCACCAGACTTCCCACGGGCACGTGCCACGCCACAATCCAATTCAGCTAGTGATGGCTCAACGTGCGTTAGGCGCTGGTTTCGAAGGAGCCGCCCCATTCACTTTGGCAAAAGTGACTTCCCCACACATTCACGACCTGCGTGGCTGGACGTGGCCCACACTGACGGAGGGCGGGGCCTGGAAGGGGCGGCGCGTGTCTTACCTGGTACGTGTTGCACAGCCCGGGCTGGCTGCGGGCATGAGAGGGCACAGGGCTCCTTCTCTGCTTGAGCCAGGGCACCTGCCAGGGGGACACAGAGCGCCCATTGAGTCCATGTGGCACCGGCGGCAAAGCCCCCGAGTCCTCCAGCAACGCCCCTCCTGGCTGGGCTCGGCAAGCCCCTCATGGTGAGGAGGGTTAGTGGGTATGGAGGTCAGACGGTGAGGGCGTGAGCGTGAGGGACGATGACCGCCAAGGGCAAAGGGGAAGGAAGAGACAGCAGAGAGAGAAAGGAACAAGAGGAAAGACTTAGGGAGACGTTCTGGGGCTCCAGACTCAGTTATGTGACCAAAGTGTCTCCATGTTCGTTGCTGAAGCCACCAGACCTGCAGGTTCTGCGCGGAGCAGGTGGAGGAAGCACCTTCTGGTCGACGGGACACGGTAACGGGCACTTCGAGTCTGCATGGGGACGGGTACTTGTAGAGGCGTCGCCCTGTTACAGCAGCTGTGTGGCTTCCGCGTGGGATTTACAGTAGAGGCCACGCTTGCCTGGTGGGGGCCACAGTGTGCCAGGAAGTAGTTCCACGAGGAACACAGTGGTCAAAGTCAGGCCAGGCAACCACGTGGAGTTAAGCTTTCTCACATTCCTCCTCCTGCTGCTGAGGGTGAGAAGCTTAATATTAATATTAACTTAATATTCCTGGACATGAGCTGCAGATCAGCCTTGACTCTGAGCTCTACTGCTATCAGTTTTCCTAGGCAGCGTTTGCCTCTAATGTTGTGTTCTCCCTGTTCTATTCACTGGAAGATAGTACCTGCGTGTCATGAGATTTTGAGTCGTGTGCTTGACAGTATTACTACGGGGCCAAGGCAAATGGTCTGCAGAGAAGTCCTCTTGTTTGTACCCAGCAGAATGGTGTGTGCATGAGGGAGAGGTAGAGAGAGAGAGAGAGAGAGAGAGAAAGACAGATACAGACACAGAGAGAGGCTGGTAGAGAGAAAGACAGAGAGAGAGTGACCAACAGACAGAGAGACAGACAGAGACAGACAGAAAGAGAGAGAGAGACAGAAAGGGGCTGATAGAGAGAGAAGGAGGGAGGGGAAGAAGGAGCCTTGCAGAGGTCAAGAGATAAAATCAGTGTAATAGGTTTCAAGAGATGTCTCAGGTTGGCTACAGATGAAATGAATTTTTTAAAAACAGGTTACCAGCTGGTTATGTGTGGAAATGATCGGTGGTTATGACATGTGAGAGTGTTAGGACGATCTAGAAATATTATTGCAGAGGGAGCACCCAGGGTTTCCAGGGGCCAATCTGGGGCAAGTCTGTTCCCAGCTCTACATCCCACAACTGACCCTCCCCCTCGAGAGGGGGTCTTTCTGTTCTGGCAATAAGTACTGGTGAGTTTAGTTCACAGTACCGAGCACTTAAAAGAGTACGACAATTGAGTACTTGTGTTCAAGTACTTCTTGGTGGATGAGCCTGCGGTGGCTTTTGCCTTGATGAGGGCTGGCTGTCCCCACAGGGCGTGATGCGCCTCCAATGGTGGCAGAGAGGCAAGTCCGTATTACACCCTTGGCCAAAAGGCAAAGAATTCTCTAGTTTGTTTCCCCTGTTTAAGACAATGTCCCTTCTTACAGAAGGGGCTCAGCTCCTCGAGCTGTTTCAGGGGACTCTGGGGATCCGTGTCAGCTGCCTCCATAGGCGGCTGGCCACACAGCAGCTTGGGGCAGGGAGGCTGGGTGGCCGGGACATGCCTCGTTTTCAGGAGAGGCGCCTCCCCCTCCCAGCACACACAGGAGGGGAACACGGCTTCCTGGTGGGAGGGGGTGCCTCCATGCAGGTGCAGGCAGGGGTGTGGCCTGCAGGTCCGTGGGGACAAAGGCAAGAAGGGCCCCCGAGGGAAGCCCTCGTTCCTGTGACTCTCCCCACCCCCGCCCATCAGACTATCTCTTAGGAAGCAGAGGATGTTTGCAGAGCAGCTAAGAGTGTGATGTAGACACGTGGAGAAACACCTGATACGTGAGCCAGAGTTAGATTAGGGATTCCACAGTTGCTAAACGCTCACAGGATCCCTAGAGAGTGGGTTTCCCTCCTGGGATATATCCCCTGAGATGCCTGGCCGAGCTTGACATCAGCCAGTCAGCAATTCCTGCACCAGATGGCTGACTTTTTACCCAAGGAAAATCAACAGACGCCATAAACCGAGATGGACATCAGAGGAGGTGAGCATTGGGCAAATTTCCCCGGGCAAATGTTGTTGTGGAAGTGCTTGCATCCAAATTAATCATGTCTTTGCTTTTGTTCCTAGTTCATCCATGACCCAACCTTACCCATGACCTTTGTGCTCACGGACATCCTTGGGAAGAAAACCCCTGCACCCCCGCCAGATGGCCTGGGGTTCCTGGGACCCCCGCGGGCGCACCCTCAGCAGGGCACACAATTGCTCAGGAAGTGCTTCCCTGGGGACTGTGTCCCACACACACAGAGGGGATTAGAGTCTACTCAATGCCCATGACCACCTGCCAGTGCAGGACGGCGCACCCAGGGACACACTGAACACATTGAGTGGAACGAGAGCAGCCACAATAGAGAGACCAGGACACGTAGCTGCCTGTCTGTGGGGAGAAAAGAATCAACAAACTTCTGTGCAAAAGCACACGAGTGAGGAAGAGACCTGGGTAAGCACAGGCGGCAGGCACGTGGCCCACACACTCACCTGTCAGAAAGCCACAAACATCCCAGTGATGCATGGAGTGGGGGAGGGAAGGACCCAAAAGGGGCAGCTTAAAAAATCCACATGTAATTAGTACACCACCGTTGGTCTGTTAAAATGTTTAATGAATGCATCAAATGAAGAAATATATATAAAACAAAAGTTCATCACAAAATCAAACTGTCATACAGTCACCAAAAGATAGTGAGCAGTGGACACATCGGCATAGCGAACAGACATGTGGCTTGTACAGAGGACGCGGCAAGGCGCCCGCTGTCCTCACTTGGGTCCTGCCTGTGAACACCACTGGCCGTGGACTGGGGGAAGGTGCCACGTGGCCGGGAGGGCCTGACACACGCATCCTACCACATCCCTCCTGCTGCCTCTGAACACCACACTACCACAAGGGTACAGAACATACCTACAGAACTTGGATATCACATGAGCAATGAAGAATTAAGCTAACCAATTAACAAAAATGTGTTAAATGAAATTAAAATGCAGCAACCAGGAAATGGTGATTGATCAGCGGTAAGTGACCAACGGTTTTCTTCCTGTACAATCAAAATTAGAAGCTTACACATAATACTGAGTGCTGAACGACGGAAGGCTGGGGTTGGCAGTTACAGATGGAGACTTGACTGCAAAGTGAATGCAGAAAGGTAAAATCATCAGTGTAGGACCGACTTTAAAAAATTCTTAAAATACACCAGTATGGAGACACCGAGATGGGCATGTTCTTGCTGCGTTCTTACTTGGGAATCGCCCAGGTGTTATGTCACCGTGTCCAGCTTAGATATTTCATCAGACCTCCCTACTCTGGGATACAAAGGAACAAGGACACTTTCCAAAGCTAATGGTCAAGGCCTGAGTGACCGCAGCCCTTGTGTGGGCACGTGAGGTCTGACATGGGGTGGGGACGCTGGGGCGGGGGTGGGCAGCTCCAAGAGCCGCCTTTCTCACAAGGACCACATGCGTCTTGAACTTGGCCCTACATGCCTGCCCGCTCCTCCCAAGGCCCCACGCGCTGGGGCATCGGGAAACCTGTCATTTAAGGACAACAACACGGTCCTTCTTTCCTCCTACAACAAAGGGACATGTTCCCCATGAATAAATACACTTTTCATCTGTGGCTCTCAAAAGAATATGCCTCCTCTAGGAATTTGTAATGCACTTTCCCTGAAGGTCAACGCCCCGGCCAGCCAAGGGTGGGTGTTGCCAGTGCATTCCGAGGACTGGGGGGGGCAGGAGCCTCATGTGGCCTCAGTGGGGGAAAGGGGCACCAGGAGGGCCAGGGAGTAACCGCCCCCTTCCCAGGGGCCATGCATTCGGTCTTGCACAACTGTACCATGAAAAACTTACTCTGGACAGATAAGCAGAGTAACTGCTTCCCCCCCAAACCCATACCAGTGGGAGCAGGCTGCCACTCAGGGCGGGGGGTCTAAGTGCACTATGCACCTTAGACAATGACCCTGGCAATGACAGATGGTGGAAGCCTGCAATGGGCTTCTATTCATGATAATCGTGCCTTTGGATTCTCTCCTTTGCTCAAGCTTCAACCCAAAGGCCTTTCAATAAAGTGAGGGTTCTCCTGATTTATACACAGGGCAAAGCAAGAATAAAACCAAAACCAAAACAGGACCCTTTGGTAGCCCAGACCAGTAAGTACCCCAGAATCCTAGGGCCATCGTGGTGGGGCGGGGGGGGGGATGCCTGGGTGGGCTGTATTAAGCTCACATCTGCAGTGTTTAAAAGCAAACAGAGTCCACAATAAAAGCGGGGTGCTGGACAGACAGTGCTTTCCGGGCCGTGTCGAGTAAGCACGGACATGAGTACACATACAAACTCCAATTTGTTTCGCTGGCATCAAAAGGCAAGGCTGTTCATTTTTAAACTTTCTTTCTTTATTCAACACTCAGTAGTGAACAGAGCTGACACTTCAGAAATTCTAACACCATTATTTAAACATTGGTTTTATTTTGTTAAATCCTATGGAAATACTTCGATTTCTCTGGCTCCTTGATAATCTAGCAACCCTATTTTGCAAAGTCGATGCCTACTTCTGAGATGAGTCTTTGAAAGTATTAAAGATATGAAAGCCTTAAAGCAATAAAGTTTTTGATTTTATATAAAGGAAGAAAAACATGTATGCATGTACATATATATGTACGTAGACATCGTTCTGAAATAAAGTCACAATGGTTGATACAAGTGCATTCACAATTTTATTTTCATTTAAGCCATTACTACTGAAATGAAGCTTGTTTTATAATATATGCTATGCAGCTATTTAATCTTTTCTGCACATTTCATATATATTTTTTCCTGCTCCTTGAGTTAAGCAGAGAAGCTATGTTTTCGGGGCGGCTGCATGCATATGGGGTGCTTAGCATGAGAGCAAGGCTTCAGTAGGCAGCCAGAGCCTGGTGTGGTCTGACAGCTGTGCTCAAAAGCACCTCGCACTGAAACCAGCATTCAAAGCAGATCAGGGGACCATATTTTAGGGTGACGCACATCTCCAAACACAGACACCAAAGGACCCAGGCAGAAGACTAACTCCACCAGCACTTAAGATATACTGAGTGTTAGTCACAAGAAGTCAAGATAAGCATCACGTGAGCGGTGACAGATGCTAGAGACAGAGACCTTAGCAGTGCCCGGGACCTCGCAGGCGGTAATTCCCGCACGCAGCAGAACCAACTTTGCAGTCCATATTTGCCCATTCCACAATCATCAGTAATTTTAAAAATTGTAGTTGAAGACGAAAGCAAATTTTAGAAGCTCCTTTAGAAACCGCAGGTCAGGGTCCCTTGCTCTACTCTTTACCCAACAGCCTCTTGACATTCCCGAGGCTGAATTCAGAATAAGAACAGTACTCAGCCAGAGCAAGACCTATAGTGTGTGGGTTCTGTGCGCCCGGCCTGTGCACCCGGGCTTCTTCCAAAACACCCTCTCCTTCCGAAATGGCCCAGCTGGGCGCCACCCTAAAAGGCATGTGATGTGCTATGTGTCTGCTATGGGAAAGCCATTCGGGATTTAGCTCTTGGATGAATCTTCAGCGCAGACGACCAGGGACAGACAGTCTGCTCCAAAAGCCCCTGCTGGACACCAGAGCATGATGGGATACAATTTTCATCTACAGAACATTTAAATAATGAAACTTCACAGACTCTAGATTCGGGTTAATGGAATAACAAAATAATACAGCTGATTCACAGGCACACTCAATTACCCCTCCACCCCCAGCCCCCAAGTAACTCAGACAAAGGACAAGATCTGCTCAAGGCGAATTTAAATCTCGGGTTTGTTCCCAAGTCCTGAATCGCATTATTGTTGCAAGACAACACGAAGCTAGCAGCGCGGACGCCGAGGAAAATGGGCACAACCTGACGCCAAACCCGAAAGCATGGGCACAGAGCCAAAGCAGCCGCTAAGCCCCCAAGCGTGAACCATCATAGAGCCGAGAACGGGGTGCCTTTGGCAGTGCCCACACCGGGGCACCCTAGACGTGCACCATTCAGAGCCACGTCCTGGTGGCATCGCTTGGGAGGAGGGGAAGAGGCTGAGTTCTGCAGAAACGGGGCAAGCGGCACCCCAGGCCCCCCCACGGCCGTGGAGCACGTCCAGCAGGTGGACAGCGGAGGGGCTGCGCCGGCGTGTCCCCTGCGGCTTAGCTCACCTGCGCGCTCTCCTTTCTTTTCCTTGTCAACTACAGCGGACACACGTGCTGTGCGCCCCCGTCACTCCTCAGAGCTCACCTTGCCTGAGCCCCGCTTGGGCACACCCCTGTCACCGCCAAAGAAGCGCCCGAGGGAGTCAAGGATGCCCGTGTCCCTGTGTCTCGGGAGGAAGCCGTGCCTGGCGTGTTCCATGGCGCTCGCGGACGCCAGGTACTTGGAGCCGTGCCGCTGGGAGGGTCGTTTCTGTGATGCCATCACATGCAGGCCCTCGGGAGTGGCCGCGCCGTCCTCTGGGATGGTCTGGAGCTCGTCTGACTCCGAGGGCCTGTCTTTGAAGGTGTTGTCCTCCCTCCCGGGGGCATCTCGGGAAAAGAGGCGGATCAAGTGGGGGCGGCCGCCCGGGTCAGCTGGGTTGGCGTCCTGCCAGGCATTCTTCGGGTCCGCTGTGCGCTTGGAGTCTGTCACCGCCGTGCCCTGAGAGGGGGCCCCATTGTTCTGCTCCACATCTGCCTCTCCTGCAAACAACAGTGAGATATGAACACGGCCGTGCAAAGCGGAGCGGGGGACAATGGCGCTTTCTTCCAGGGCTAGTGACCTGCTTGTGTCCGACCAGAGCCTACCAGTCCCACGTTGAGCTACGTGGCAGATCGCTCTGGCAGGACCCAGCCGGGACCGGGCGCCCCACCTGCAGTTCTCAGACCCCGGGCCCTGCCTCGCTTACTGGAGATGCGGCGTCATAGACGCAATGTGCCCCGGCCTCCTGCCGAAGTGGCCCATCACCCCTGGGTGCTGCCTTGCTGCGTCTGGAGAGGCCAGCACCGCAGGGACCTTTGGGGACCTTTAGTCTTGAAAATTCCACTGGTGCCTAAGCTAACGTGTTTGGGAGCATTTATTTGACCGAAGGTATTTTTAGCATTCTTGATAAAAGTGGAGCTTCCCACACGTTTTTGCAATTCATGCCTTAAAGAAGTGGGGCATTTAGAATTCTTTAGTTTCCAGATTCCACAAGAGGCCTGGTGCACTGCGGAACTGCTTATTCAGGACATTTTCATCTGGCTTCTCTTCTGTAAGGGGCTCGATTACAAAGTTCGAAAAGGCAATGGTGTAGTTCACGTGGGATCCCACCATCTCGTAGCTTTGTGCACACTGCATCTACAGCATTTCCTTCAGGAAAGGCAGCACATCCATTTTCCTCTCAAGTTACAGGTGAGGCTTAGTGCACATCCACTGCAGCCCACGCCACCTTTGGTTACCTATCCACAGAAATTGTGGGTTTCCTCACACTTTCTTATACTACTCTCCATCCTTCAACCACCCACGAATCTGTTCACGGTCATTACCCAACAGCAGCCTCCATCATCTGTTTGACCACGTACCTCTCTATCCATACGCCAGGCCATCCACAGATCCACCCATCTACCCAGCTACCCACCACCCATCCAGGTACTCACCCACCCACCTGTCCATCCACCCACTTGCTCATCCGTCTACCCATCCACCCACCCAGTCACTCCCCCATCCATCCACCCACCAGCCACCCACAAAGTCACTCACCTGTCCCCCTGTCCATCCAGTCACTCACCCACCCACCTGCCCACCCAGTCACCCACCCACCCATCATCCACCCATCCACCCACCCAGCCACCCACCTATTATTTCCTGAGGACCTAGTAAGTGGAGTGTGCGGGGCTAGATGACTGGCTTGTAGTGATGAACATCTGGTCCTTTTCTCAGGAACACGGATGAAAATGACTGTCATGAATTGAATAGCGGGCCCCCCAAAATGGCAGGTCCCCATCCTAATCCCCAGTAGCTGTGAAAGTGAACTTATTTAGAAAAAGGGTCATTCATAGACACCAAGGTAAGATGAGTCCATAGTGGACGAGGATGGGCTTGACCAATGACAGGTTGTCCTTACAGGATGAGGGGGCTTTGGATCCAGACACAGATACACGGGGAAGAAGAGGCCATGTGGCGGTGGAGGCAGGGGCCCGAGTGATGTGGGAGCACCGGCAGGCAGGTGAGAGACGTGGCGCCCACCCTCCCCCGAGCCGGCAGCCACAGCACAGCCCCGCGGACACGCTGATTTCGGATCTGGCCTCCAGAAGGTGCGAACGGAAATTCCTGTTGTTTGAAACCACCCAGCCACAATGTACAGTTTCATGTCAGCTAATGATTCGAAGACCACAGAGCAGGACCAGGGGCTTCGGGGAGGCCCCTCGAGGGATGGAATGGGTGGGCCCAGTGGGGGTGCCTCCGCAGAGTGGAGGCCACCCCAGGCGCAGTCGGCAGGGAGAAGGGGCTGGGTCTGCAGGTGCACAGGAGGGAGGGGCTGCCGCCCACGGGAGAGGTGGAGGGGAGGCCACGGAGGCACGAGGCGGCGGCTGGGAAGAGCCCGGAGGTGGCAGCTGGGGCCTTTTCCTTGTGTTGTAGAGGCTGTTTGTGTATCTACACAACACAGACTTCCACAAACACATCACAAATAAAAGGCAAATGACTCCACTCTCTTTCAGCAAAATCACAGTAGTCAGGCGACTGTCCCATGAATGATGCTTATTGCACAGAGCGTACCTTGACCTGTATTTCCAAAATAGAGCCTCACTCCCCACATCCGGGCTCAGCGTTTGCCTGAGACACAGTACAAGGCAGAGCCTGGATCCTGGGATCACCGTGACCTTCTCCAGGCTCCTAAGAGGCAGCACACAGGGTCAGCTGTGCCCAAATGCCTCAGAAATATGTCCCTTAGAGTATGGCACGTCTCTTAGGACCACTGACCAAATTCAACCAGGTAAGAACGCAAGTATTTACAGTGTAGGCACTAAATGGCTCGCTGTGTGGTAGCAACAGGAAAAAGCAATGTAAAGAATACTATGGCCGCACCAAGCTGTACATTTTTGCAGGGATGGGATGCTAATTTATAGGTTGCCACAGAAATAGAGTCTGATTTTCTAGCTGTGCTTTATATTCTGTGGCTAATATAAATTAATGCAAATGTGGAAGAGAAACAAAAGCTATATTGTACATAATTAAACGCATTAACAAAACACAAGCGCCTCTGAATACTAATATTTGTACAACAGTTGGGCCTTGTGTTCCTGAATACGGCTGTTTGTGAGGGCACAGAGAAGGCGTTCGTGTCCTGAAGGTGGCTTCTCTGAGCGCACAAGGGGCTTGGGGAGAGGCTGAAATCTGTGATGTGCAGCATTTTTGGTGTGGACAAATGCAGTTTTAACTTGTCAGTTAATATCAGCTTTCAGCAGATTACAGCCCAATGTAGACTTTTTGTTGAGACTATAATCACGGAGCATAGCGTTAGGGCACAATTTGCGAGGCATGGATCTGATTCTACCAGAAGTGCACTTATAAGGCTCTATTGTTATTCAAGTTCTACAGGAATTTGCGATAAAACTTTTTTTTTTTTTAAAGCCCACCTCATCTAGTTGCTAGAATGACCCCCAGAAAGCTTTGGGGAGAAATGTATTGGATTTTTTTTTGTTTTAATTTTTTTTAATGTTTTATTTATTTCTGAGAGAGAGAGAGAGAGACAGAGAGAGAGAGAGAGAGAGAGAGAGAGAGAGACAGCGGGAGGGTCAGAGAGAGAGGGAGACACAGATTCCAAAGCAGGCTCCAGGCTCTGAGCTAGTTGTCAGCACAGAGCCCGACGCGGGGCTCGAACCCACGAACCACGAGAACATGACCTGAGCCGAAGTCGGTCATGATCTTAACCGACTGAGCCCGCCAGGCGCCCCTGTATTGGACTGTTGAAAGCGATGCTGCTAAAATCACAGAACGGCTTCCTGGAATGTCTCTGAGGAACAGAGACGTCACTCCCTCGAGAGTGGTTTCTGGAATCAGAGACACACACCGAATGGTGGGGGTGGGGGAGGGGGAGGCGGTGTCCACTGTTGAAAAGAACTCAGGTCATAACCGGAGCAAGCCTCCCGCCGGGGGCCGCAGTGGCCTGCGATGCCCGCGTGGCTCCTTCCCAGGCGGGGCGGCCTCAATCCCGACCCCCGGGTGACTTCCTTCACTCACTGCAACTACCTTCTCTTTTCTGTTTCTTTTTCCTTTTTTTTTTTTTTTTTTTTGGTGCCACTTTATGCTGGGGTGGGCCGTGGGCTTCTCTCGTGGGATCCCACTGGACCCAGGGCTGCTGGAAGGCCCCATACAAGGTTTCACAGCACATGACCTTGCTTGTCCCCCACTGTCACGGGCACCGAGACAGGCTTGCCCGCCCGCTCGTCCGCCGGCTCTCCCACACGTCCCACACGTGTGCCCCACTCGTGTATTGTCCTTGGGCCTCTTCTGCTGTCCTCACTGCCTGCCTTTCCCCGCGGAGGCCTGCGCCGGGCCACTGGACTGCCCTTCTGGGAACACAGCTTCACTGTGGCCAGCGCCATGGAGCGAGTGCGTCTGCTTCCTGGGAAGCGTTTCCGATCTCTGCTCTGCAGGTGGGCGGTGTGTCTGAGGGGGCCTGGCATCCTGTGCGGCGTGTGGCCTACAGCCATGCTGGCGTGAGCTGGGCCGCTCCTCCCACAGCAAAGAACACAAGTCAGGCCCCCACCTCTTCTTTGCTAGAAGGACTTTGCTACTGGCATTGCTGTGGTTAAACTATTTTTTATATACTTATTTGTAAGTGAAAATTTCCCTTCAGACCTGAAAGGCTCTGCACCAGGGTCTAAGCTCTGGCTTAGAAACGAGTTTCAGTATGGAGGCTCCTCAAAAAATTAACATTAGAACTCCCCTATGACCCAGCAATAGCACTGCTAGGAATTTACCCAAGGGACTCAGGAGTGCTGATGCCTAGGGGCACATGGACCCCAATGTTCATAGCAGCACTCTCCACAATAGCTAAAACATGGAAAGAACCTAAGTGTCCATCAGCAGACAAATGGATCAAGAAGATGTGGTTCATCTACACGATGGAATACTCCATGGCAATGAGAAGGAATGAAATCTGGCCACGTGTAGCAACATGGATGGAACTCGAGGGTGTTATGCTAAATGAAATAAGTCAGGCAGAGAAGGACAGATACCATATGTTTTCACTCATATGTGTAACCTGAGAAACTTAACAGAAGACCATGTGGGAGGGGAAGGGGAAAAATAGTTGGGGACAGGGAGGGAGGCAAACCATGAGAGACTCTTAAATACTTAGAACAAACTGAGGGCTGATGGGGGGGAGGAGAAGGGGGGTGATGTGCATGGAGGAGGGCACTTGGGATGAGCACTGGGTGTTATATGGAAGCCAACTTGGCAACAAACTATAAAAAAATAAAAATAAAAATAAACCATACTCTTCCATAAAAAAATGAACTTCAGTTGTATCCCCTAATTCTTTCTGGCCATGCCGAGGTTTTGTAATATTCTATGTTTAACCCGTCAGCATGGCTCTGAAGCGCCAGCATAAAGAATGTAGTCTCCCTCCTCTGTTCTTCCCTAAACTCCCAGTCTGAGTTCGTGCATCAGGCATGGTTCCTCATGGTGTCCACGGTCCGTAGAGTGGGATGCTCCT